ATGCTGGAAGCTGCCCAGACTCTGTGGGCATGACCTGGAGCATTCTCAAAACCATTCATAAAGTGGATGGTTTAAAAAAGACCCAGAAACAAAACAAAACAACTCTTGGGTGAGAAACCAAAAAACTACCAAGTTTGTCATTTCCAATTTATATTGCATTTGATTCTATCATATCTTTATCCAGATAAGTAATTCTTAAAAGAAATTTGCATCTTTTGGGAAATGAATAGTGTACATTTAAAACAGAAAGAGAGAATGTTAAGATAAATTCCCTCTTGATACATATATTTGTAAGCTTCCAAAGAATGGAGTCATTTAGGGGCACAAATATGGCAGGATAATAACTCAGCCACTCCTCAATTCTTTCCCCAAATAATCCAAAAATAGGTAAGCCAAAAGTAGTGGGTGTTCCAAGGACTTATGTAACCTCTTAGAAAAGACGTACAGGGAAGATTTTTCTATACAAAATAGCTGTCACATGAAATTACCTTAATAGGGAAAATCAAACCCAATTATGGCAATGCTACAAGATTACATGGGTAAAAAACAATCTATTACTCTGAGATCTCACTCCCCTAAAATTTTAAATCTGATGTTAGAATGTGATGTGTTTCTATCACATTCAACCTCGACTGCATTTATTGATAAACAACTTTTCTTTCCTGATAGATGTTAAGCTTCTTATATGCAAGAATCAAGTCTTTGAATCTCCAGAAAGTTTTTGCTTATTGTAGGAGATTAATCAACTCCATTCAAATAATCAAAAGTTTATAATATTACTGATATTGATGAGTGATATGTCAGTTTAAAATAGTTTATTGAAAATGATGCAGATACATCATCATGGTGGTAAGATACCTTGTCACATTGGTAAGAGCAAATGCTTGTGTGGAGATAAAAGTCAGGAATCCCCTCATTTTAAGAGGCAAGATGTTGGAGGAAAAGGGGTTTACATAAAGGGGGAATTATATAAAGAGACTGCTAATAAATATTTTTTAATGTCTCCCATTATGATAAATTGTGCACTAAAACCAACATGATTGATGGGGAATAATAGGGTTGAGGCAGTCTGCTTGACACCTATTAAACCTTGTGTTAATTATCTTGAATACAAGCAATAAGTATTGGTGAGAATGTGGGGAAAAAGGTACACTCATACATTGCTGGTGGGACTGCAAATTGGTGAAACCACTCTGGAAAGCAGTATGGAGATTTCTCAGAAAACTTGGAATGGAACCATCATTTGACCCAGATATCCCCCTCCTCGGTGTATACCCAAAGGACTTAAAATCAGCATACTACAGTGACACCACCACATCAATGTTCATAGAAGCTCAATCCACAATAGCTAAACTATGGAATTAACCTAGATGTCCTTCAAGAGATGAATGGATAAAGAAAATGTGGTACATATACACAATGAAATATTACTCAGCCTTAAATAAGAATGAAATTATGGAATTTGCAGATAAGTGGATGGATCTGAAGAATATCATGCTAACTAAAATAAGCCAAACCCTAAAAAACAAAGGCCAAATGTTTTCTCTGATAAGCAGATGCTGATCCATAATGGGGGGGAGGGAGGGTGCTAGAGAAGAATGAAGGAACTTTGGATTGTGCAGAGGGGAGTGAGGGTAGGGAGGAGGTGTGGGGATGGGAAGGACGGTGGAAAGAGATGGATATTATTACCCTATATACATGTATTGTTACTGGTGTGGCTCTGCACCATGTACATCCAGAGGAAGAATCTGGGCTCCATTTGTGTATATGTGTCAAAATGCATTCTATCGTAATGCACAACTAATTAGAACAAATTAAAAAATAAAAAAAACCCCCGATGCTAGAGCACTAGAACGTTAGCAATTTAATTAAAATTCTAACAGTTAAATCTCAACTGCAATGTGCACCTAGCACCCTTTGCATCCTTAAACCTCAGGGATGCTGCTTCTTCCTTCAAGATATAGGTCCTGGAGGTTATTCATTTCATCAAAATTAACCAAATATCATGAATTCATTGATTTGCAGTAATCTACTGTTTTAACACAAGAGGAAATGAATTTGAAGCCTCTTCATTTGCATTTGCAGCATACCAGGCACTGCTGGCATGAAAGATTGATGCCTGTGTGTGTCTTCTGTCTTCTCCTAACAGTCTACACACTTTGCTAAGTCCAACTTTAATTGTGAGAAAGTTTGACTTTGTTAGAAAACATTTAATATTAGTGATGGGTAAAATCATGCTGGAACCGATACAACTTCTGAGTTACATCAACATCATTTTCTAAATGCATCTGAGGTAATTATGTCAAAAAACACCACACGTATAGTGGAACAGTTAGAGTGGTAAATGGCTTACCCAGGTATTGGCGTATGTGAACTGAGTTTATGTAGAAGTAGCTGTAAAAGTGGTAATGATGTTCGCTAGCAATATTTATTGAGGCTTACTACATGACTGGCATATGATGTTAAATACTTTACATGCATTATTTCATTTATTCTTCATACAGACTCTATTTAGTAGATGAAGAAACAGCTAATTAGTAAGATAAAGTATTCCTCTTTGCCCAAGTTTACAAACCTGGTAAAGCTATGATTGGAACCCAGATCTGTGTGACCCTATGGCCTTAGTTATCAATAACCACCACAAAATAATATTTCTCATCCATGAAAGGGGAAATGATTCTGTAGTGGTAACCGACAATCCTTTTTATCCAACGGGCAGATGTTAATGTTAAAATTGACATAGACCTCGAAAACCACTAAGCATTGTAGAATACTTATTATTTTTCCAGACTTAACTTTTCTGGCTAAGATGTGAGAGGAATCTTTGGACATGGCCAAAGGAGAATTCCAGAAGTGAGACACCTCCTTTTCAGTTCTTTCCAGCTGGGTCAGAGGTCTGCTGTGATGACTCAGGCTATGCAAGAACTTGGAATGGACTCACAGGCATACTTCTACATTTCAGACAGATCTGACTGTGGGGAGAGAACTATGACCGGGGAATTTATACCTAGCTACAGCCAGGACTTTCGGCACAGATGCCAGTAAAAGAACTTCTGGTAGAATATAACTCTTCATTTAGAGTCATTCAACAAGTATGTATTAAATTTCATGCACCTGAAATTATGCCAGGTGTTAGGGCTATGAAACTGAATAACCTATTAAGACCTCAGGCCTGTGGAGCCAAGTGCTGGCATGTCATGGAGCATGCTCTGTGCAAGACACTCTTCTTGACGCTTGACATATATTAACTTGTTCAATTCTCACAAACTTATGATGTACAGACTAATGTTCTGCCTCTTTAATAGTTGAAAAATCTGGGAGGCTGGGTGCTTAAGAACCTTGCCCAAAAGTCATACAGCTGGTGATTAAGTGGCAGAGCTAGGCTTTGAACTTAGGTTGTTTGAGTCCAGAGCCTGCATTCTTGACCTCTTCTCTAAACTCCCTATTTTGTGGAAGGAGACAGAAGGATTAAAACAATTATAATGTGGGGCAATAAGAAAAATTACAGATGTATGTACCCAGTGGAATATTAGTAGAGGAGAAAGTGATGAATTCCACTTGGTGGGGGGAATAGCATTCCGGGAGGGGTGCCAATTCAGCAAAGCCTTCACAGCAGATGTCCACAGCTACTGGGGACAGCACTGGAATTAACCCAGGCAAAGGCATGGTGGTGGGAATGGGCATGTGTGTAGTTTGTTATGTTCTCTGCATATTTCAACAATAGCAAAAGAATAGGGTAGGGGAGTCAGGAGATGACTGCATAGCAGTAGGGCAAGCTCAGATAGAGGGAAAGGTCAGAAAGAAGAAGAAATCATTTATTTGACTTGGACACACCAAGGTGGTTTTATGTAAGAAATAATGAAACAGGTTTTGGAAAGGGGAGAGAGCAAATAACCTGATTTTATCTTTTGAATCTGTTGACAGTATGGAGAATAGGTAAGGAAGGAAAAATCTAGAAGTAGTGAGTCCATTTAAGAGACTATAATAGTGCCAGTGAGAAACCAAGGAGATGGAGGTAGGAAAGGAGGGATGAGAAGAGAAATATTTTTACATTTTCGAGGTCAAGTCAATAGTTAATTCCAAGGTGGGGGGGGGGTGGGGCTTGGGGAGGTTCCTTTATCAAGGGTAAAGTTTGATTCTTAAGAAAGTCTAAGTGGTTAAAGTCAGCTCTAGACTCTTGCTTGGGAACACAGACTTATAGGGGCTCTGCAATTTTAGATGCACAGAACCCGACTGTGGTTAATAACTAATTCTTGGTATCATCCTTTTTCACCTTCCTTTGTGTAGTGTCCAAAGCCCCTACTGAAGAAAACAGCAATGCTTTACTTTGTTGATGATTATTGGTTTTGTAATATATCATACACAGCCCTAGAACACTTGGCCCATGACTCGGGAAGGCCAAAGACAGATGATTACTAGTATTTATAATTATTGTTATTTTATTATTATTATTATTATATTTTTTATTGTCTGGGGATTGTCCCAGAGCCTCATGCATGTTAGGCAAGCACTCTACCACTAAGCCACATCTCCACCTCTCCACTGACAGATTACTACCACTTGGTGTTCCTGTACCATAATAATAATCTTCTATCCCATTTAACATATTTCTTAATGTTCAAAGATGGGTAAATTACCCCGTTTTTAAGATTGGTTGAGGAAATCAAGAACCAAAAGCAAAAAAAAAAAAAAAAAATGCCCACAACCTCCCTTAGGCAGCTGGCACCTGCTTTTCTGCTTTATTACCGTGACTAAGGGGTCAGTCAGCTCCTGGTCCTACAGAGCCTGAGATGTTGGGCACAAAGCCGGCTCAGCTAAGGGTGAGGCCACAGCTGGGAGGATGACTCACGCTGGACCCAGAAAGAAAACAAATGGCCTCAGAAGTGTGGTGGTTATGGGGTATGGAGGAGGACTTGGAGAAGGGCCACTGACTTTTCCAGGAAGTTGGTTCGTGTAATAATTCTGGTGGGAAAATATTAAGGAAAAAAGAGTCCACTTACTGATACAAGAAATCAGATCATTAAATCTTTCCTTAGGAAAGAGGGGGTTTTCCAGCCCACGGAAATAGAGCTTCAGAACACCAGCCACTGAGTTAATATCATGGTTACTCTGGTCATCAGCCAGAGGATTTTCACCTAAAAAGCAAACAAACAAACAAAAAAAGAGAATATGTTTTTATGTACACACATTGCTATATATATATATATATATATATATATATATATATATATATGAATTTTTTAATTACGCTTTATGAAAGATTATATGGTACTAAAATTAAAATAATTGGTTTAGATATCCCACCCCATGATTAACCTAAAAATAGCGGACTAAAATAAAGCTTCAAAAAAAAAAAAAAGTCTTCAGCTACCAAATACTCCCTTACAAGTTACCCAAATCTTAAAATAAAATACTGTGGGATTTATAATTTTACCCAACATCTTTTAAAGTGAAAATCAGTAATCTTAGTTTGACATGAATTCAAAAAATACATTCTGTGTTACTTATCCTACTGGGAAAAAGACCCAGTAGAGTTTTGTCTGGCTAAGCTATATAGGTCAACAAAATTTATCACAAATATCAAATATAACTTCCGAACACCTACAAGTAAATAAACAGGTGCCTCCCCAAGTGGCATGATGGTGTTCATAGTACATTTGAAAGGCACCTTGAACACTGGAAGATTCTGAAGCCAAGAGAAGGAATCTGAAAATGTCCCCTTAATGACACCTCCCAAAGAACTTTATGAAAAGTTCATATTTTAAAAACATATCACAAATACAAAATTTTATTTTTCATCATGGTAAGCAATTTTAAAATATTAGGAAATTGGGCTGGCTAGCCCACCTCTCTGAGAATTAAACAGATAAAATCCTTAATAAGCTCAACATAACATGCAGCCTTAAATCACAGGTCTAGATTTCACAAATCTACTCTTTCTAAGGTTCACACAAAGTGGATTTTGGATTCTGACATATTGTTTGCCTTTTGGGGCAGTTTATTTTCAGGAACTTGTTGTTCCTTTTTTTCCCTCTGCTTGTAGGGCTGAAAAATCATTGAACACAAATTCACCAGAATTATTATCATTATTATTATTGTTTTTGGCCCACTGTGAGAAAACTTCAGCCCAACAAATTACAAACTAATAATTAATACCAGGGGAATTTGCAAGGAAAAATAATAGAGCATCTGCCTGCTGTGGCTGGCACAGGAACCCGATGCTTCACTATGTTTGAACCTATCATTCTGAATATGGTCAGTATGGGAGGGGAGGTTCTTCTGCTCCTATGCATCATGTTGGCCAGAGAATTTTGAACTAGAAAAAAACAGGATGGCCCCAAGTCTACTCTTCAACTTCAAATTTTAAATGGTTCTATACCAGGTCTAGGCAAGGGGAAATGAGACAGAGGGAGGGAAGTTGGGAACTGTGGTAACTGCTCTGCATTTCACCTTAACTTCTAAGCAGATGAAAGAAAGTAAAGATGTACCCAGAAGTAAATGCATTTTAATTGGAGAACATTAATGAATAATTGCTATCTTGAAACGAGTTAGGCATTTTCACAGATCAAGTCTAATCCTCACAACAATCCTATAATTTTGCATGTGAGGAAACTGAGGCCAAAGTAAAAACTGAGTCACTTGACCCAAATCCCATGGGACTCCGATTTGATTCTAGGTCTTCCTGACATGAACGTGTAGGATTTTGCTGATCATAATGCTCTCATTAATAGTTCAGTAGAATTTATGTGACATTCAATTATGATTACAAGTAAGGAAACAAGAAGGGTCACAGGAAGGAGTCAGGGATGGTAGTGAGAGGAAGGGGAGAGCTCTTGAGGAAGGAAGGAGAGAGGGGGCAGCTGGGAGGAGCCATCTCACACACCTTCTGTGTAGGCCAGGACCACCCTGCTTCTTCTGGAACCCTTTCAGGTGCCACCTTTGACACACATCATGGGGGATCACTGTTAGTCCTAAACCACAATGCACAGCTCATATGCTTTTCTACATTTAATAACAAACACATGACTTGGGCCTGTTCCTCAGCTATTCTGAATAAATTCTGACCCTAGCATCCACCCTGAAGTAAAGGTTTTGAGGTTATACAGAGTGAGTTTACCACTGCAGGACAGGAGATGACAGCTTCTTAAGCTGTTTTATGTTTTGCTTATAGGTATGGACATACAATTACCTCTCTCAAATGAATTTTTAATATCATTGACTTCCACCTGGGAGCCAGACACTCTGAAAATCCCTTGATGCTGAAGACCTAAAGGCAACAGAAGGCAAAAGAGAATGAGACACTCCATCACATCCTGTAGGTCTCCTTTTCCCAAGAGTTCAATGTAAAGCACAAAGAAATTTTCACTAAAACACTGCTGGTGATAATTTTTTTTTTAAAATAAGAATTCTGTAGTTTAAGGCTTACCATAGAGATTGATGAACCGAATACAGCTTTCCACAATGAGGGGGATGACCTGTCCTGAGTCCTGGTAAAGAGATGGAAATCAGTGAACTTCAAAGGAGAGATCTAAATCACACATAAGAATAAAGCTCATGGTTCAACAGTAATTAGAGTTTTTCTATCCTTTTAGATTTCCAAATCCACCCCCTCTAAAATATACAACACCAAAATGAGTGAATGAATGAATGAATCAATGAATAGTGAAAGGATTTATATTTAAGCAAAGGTATATTTCTGTTCTGAAGCAAACTACATTAAATACATTTAACACAAGAAAGCAACACTGGCTTCAACTTAGCCTTCTATGTCTAGAGATGTCAAAAGCTAGCTCATCTCTTTTACTTAGGCTTACAAACCAAAATGAAGAACTCATTGTTTGAAAGAGTTCCCGACACAAGTGGTCACTCTTTGATGGACTTTAAAGGAACACTATGCATCATAATCATAGCACCTTAGAACTGATTAAGTTGCACTAGTCACCAAATAGTGCAACTTAAAGAGTCACCTTCCAGCCATCTCTCTGCCACATTCCAGAGAATTTGCCACCTGCATGATGAGTTACAAAAATAGCTTCCACGGTTACAAATGCCTGCTATAGGAACTGTTTCACAAGTAATAAAAATGTCTCATGTATTTACTTAGTTTGCATCAGAACCTACTCATCCTTTTAGAAGACCCTTCCTATTTTTCATGTTTTAAGGATTAAGGAAAAAGATGACACAAATGTCCATCCCATTAGATCTCATTTTCTTAGGAAGGAAGATTTTTTTTTCCTATTTCTTCAAGTCTTGTAAAATAGTCACTCACTGCCTTCAACTGAACATATGTGAATTCTGAATATACTTTAAAACACACAGAGGGTGACAAATGAGATGAAGGAGCTGTTGCGGCCACAGTTAAAAATGTATCAATGCCATGCACTCCGCAGAGTTAAATCGAGTTACTGAGTATGGAATTATTCTTCATGTACTTTTAAGACTCTGATCTTTCAGGAATTAGAACTTTAAAGGAAACATGGGATTAAAAAATGATTAGCTGACATAAGGCCTAATTCATGAGGAATTTTATTCTGAAACACAAGAAGAACTTGTTCTTGATATATTAGAACAATTCAGAATCCACGAACCTTTCCAATTTAGCAGTGGGGGCAAAGATTGGGAATAATACAGATCAGCAATTTAAGCTCTTTACTATTTCTGGAACGGGTAATGCACTTCTTAAGGAATAGTTTCATTTTAAGTTTTAAGACAATCTAATCAGTGTATAAACCAGTTAATGGTTCAATTACTTCTGGAGCCTGCATTAAGTTTCTCTGATTAGTTAATTTGTTTTAGGAGCATACATTTTATTAATTCCTTAAAGAAGAGCCTTAAGAATAAAAGCACATCTTCATGTGAACTAGTTGGCTTAAGAACAGCAATGTAATTACATTAAACTTTACTCAATACCCACAGGGATTTTTCTTTAAAACACAAACATGTTTTAGTGGGAATAATTGTCATATGAACATTTCATGTAACTATATAAAATAAAAGAGCAATAAATATTTAAACATAAGTGATGGAAGGAGAATATTAGTTTACACCTCTGTAGAACTTAGTATCAAAACAAAAAGAAAAACAAGGAATAAAAGATTATTAAAAGAAAAATGTTTGCAGTAAGAAATTTCTAAATGAAATGTTTATGTATTATCTAAACATATTCTTACCTTTACAGTCACTCGGGTGATTGGAATTTCATTCAGATTAAAGGAATTTTGTAGTCAAAAAGTAATGAGCATGTTTGAATTTAATTTCATGGGTGACATGAAATATTTTCTAAGAAGTGAAACCATCAGTGGGCTGCATTCCAGCTGCCATCCAAACAAATCTCTTTGGGTCTCAGTTTCCCTACAGGAAAAAAAATGGCTTTGCTCTTGCAGCCTCACAGCAGTACTGAGGAGATCTCAACTGGACAAGCACTTTTCAGATGCTCAGAGACCTCTGCACCCTTCTCCATGTTATAGTCACTGCCGAAGAAGTTTCCTCAATCCATCATCCCAGATGGTGGAGAGCTCACAGAGGTAAATTCCCACAACTGCTTTGCTCCTTCTTTAGTACCTTAGTTTGGCTTCTTTTAGCAATTCTTAGTGGAAAATCTTTTAAAATATGACGTGCTTTCCTATCATCTTAAGCATCCATTCTCATAGAGCATCAGCAAATATGGCAGAATCCTATAGCTGCTTTCTTGAGCTTTCCCGTATTCTCTTTCCCTGCCAGGCCATCAGCTGCATATCTCGCTGCTTTCATTTTATTGTTTCCCTCTCTCCATCTAATTTGCCGCTGCTTATATGCCATGGGCTGGGAAACTAGATAATCAAATTTGACAATAATTTTACATTAAATTAGAGCCAATAAGGCTCTTCTAGGTTTAAAGCTCAAGGCAATGGATTTGTGATTGCTATTTAGGTTGCTCAGTGGCTTTTTACTTAATTTCAGGGTTAGGGCTCATTTTCAAAGCTGCTAGTGGTTTCCAATCCCTCTCCCTTTCCATGTATGATGTATCTGTCTGTCCATAGACACGGTGCATGCACATACTTTTTATTCATTAGCGCATATATTCAGTAGATGAGATATATTTTTAAAGAAAGTAAATGTCTATAACATGACACAGATTTAGTCTTCAAAAGCATAGCAGTGGCCCATGATATAAAATGTGAGCTATGAAGGAGAAAGCTCCTTTTGTGTGTGTATGATTTACATTAGGATCCATAATCTTTATTAAATGCATTTTGGTATTTAACATTCACTTTCCCTAATAAAAGCCCTTGACCTCAATTTGATACATCTTCCAAACACATAAATGTGAAAACCAAGCATTTATCTCCTTTTACTGGAGGAGACTATTCCTCTTATACTGGTGTTCCTTCTTAAGTAAATCTTATTTATAAACCTGTAGAATTTCCAACTGCAAACATTTTTCTCTGAAAGCCCTTAAAAACTCGAATTAAAGCCAAGCAGGAGTAGGACTTGGAAATGAGACCAGCAGCGAGAAAGGCCGAGCCCTCACTTCCCTCTAGCACTATACCTGGTGCCTCGCGTGCGAGTTCCTTCGTCCTCGGCTAGAAGCATTATCAGAAACACAGATGAAAAAGAAGACAGAGAGTAATCGCAGCAGAGATACAAGACACAGACCACAGGGTCTTACAATTGATCCAATATAATTTATTCCTCAAGTCATCAGAAGTCAAAACTCTCGCTGTGCTTCAGAGCGAGTCTAACAAATGGATTTTAAAAATATATTTTGTGCCATCTCATTTACATGAGGAAAAATAAAACATCTTATCAGGTTTCTTGTTTCCCTTTTTTACAATTTATGGCTTTTTTTTTTTTTTAAATAAAGAAGAGAGCTTTCTCTTTTGCTCACACGACAACACCCACATTTATTTCCTCTTTTGAAGGTATCCAACCCAAATATTCTTTCCTCTCTGACTTCAGGAAATATTATATTGATTTTCTGGGAAAGCAGAGAGCCCCAGGATAGACTCGGACATAATGACCTGCCCCCCTTTTATGAGAGGCTGAGACCATTATAGTGAGAAGCGTGGAGATCAGCCACCCAGATGGCTGGTGCGGTACCTTGACGAATGTTTCCAAATCCCCATTAAACAACTTAGCATTATACTGTGAGCGGGGTCTGGACTTCCTGTGTTTCTGGGGCTTAGGGGGAACATTTGGAGGCCTAAGGGAAGGGAATATAATTACTGAGCATGGCAGAAATCAAACAATAAATGAAACACCCGAAGGTCACATCAGAATTACAAAACATGGGATCTTGGGTTCCTTCCCCACCCCCACCCACAGGAAAAAACAGTCCCACCCCTTCCCATTTATTTACTTTTACTTATGTATCAAAAAACATATAAGCTATTCCTTTAGATTATGTTTTCTTATAGTCGTAGCTGGCATTTGTTTGCTAGTTTATTTAAAAATGATAAGCATTACCAAATGGAATATGAACTATTTGGGCCAATGTTATAATGTAGGGTTCTTATTATTTGGTTTACAAGTCACATAGTAAGACACAATCAGTGGTAAAAATTAGGGTTCTCATACATCCCCAAATGAGAAATTAAATATAAAATTTTTAGCTACAATATAATTTTTCAGTGTAAGTAATATCACATCTGTTCAGTACCCCTTAAGTATTAATGGGATTTTATGTTAACTATTAATGGGTCACAAATGAGGAAAAAAAAAATAAGAGTTTGCTGGTTCTGACTGGGGACACAGGCTCAGATGAATAATTATTCCTGTAGAACAAATTGTCTTATCACCTAAATATTTGTAGATCATGAGGATGCACTCATTTATGCTGTTCCGTACTCTTTCCATCTGTCTGTCTGCCTGCTTTGGTGGGTAAGCCAGTCTATCTGACATATGCACATGCAGGGCACAGGTACTGTATTTAGAAACCCTGCACTGTAATTGGAGGGAGGCACTCTTTTTCTGCCTTCTCCCTTTAGAGGAAAGAGGGACAGGATTACCTGACTCAACTTCTAAATCTGCACAGAAAGGAATACATGGAACAAGAGCCCCGTCACCTCTTTCCAGATATTCCAATTTAAACCTCTTAAACGTAAGGTTTCGAGGACAATGCACAACACAGTGGGAAATAATGCAAAATTCTCCATTAAACAATAGACTGTCTAGGAAGAATCATCTTTTTAATTCATTTTGTTCAAATTCAGAAAGTCTAGTTTAGAAACCAAATCCCAAAAATTTATGTCGAAGCTCAAATGGCTTCAAAAAGTACTACCACAGCAATCAAGAGATGCAGAGGAATGAACCTGCTGAGAAAGCCTTTCATAGCTAAATTCTAAGACTCTCCCAGCAGGTGGGCTTAGAGGACTAATGCAGCAGTACCAGAGGTGTCACAGTGTCTCACAGCCCAAGAGGAGCCTTCTCAAATATGTAAAAATGAATATGGAAAATTTGATCAAGCAGCAAGTCATGATCTACCACAGCTGAAAATTTTTGAAATCTCTTATACTCTAAATTAAGTGCCACTCTTGGGGTAAGAAATCTGGTAGGTATGAAAAAGCAAAACAACTAACCACCAAGGAGTTTAACCATATATATTTGATTTCACCCACATTTTCACTATTTTGTAAATGTTTTAAAATGTAGGTATGGTGAAGTCAACAGATCAAGAGATGACATCATCATGGATGCAGCAGCATGGGTTGGGAGGCAGAGGGAGCAAGGGGGAAATGTGGGTAAGAACCATTGTTGTGGTTTGCCCGGGGAAGGAAGGGGAGAAACAGGATCAACAGGTTTCAGAGAGGTGGATTTGAATAATTTCCATGGGCTCTGTGACACTGTGACTATCCCTAGTCTATTCCTGGCCCCGAAGCAAGGGGAAACAGTAGTCCTGGGTGAGAATCTGATGAAGGAGGTGGACTCTAATGTGGACTCTGTATTGGCTGGTAAAGACCTGACTAACTGGGAGAGGCAGTCCCTCCAGACTTGGCAAGGACCCATGATATCAAAGCATGACATACAGAAACTGGAAAACATAATTATTACAAGATTCAACAGAGCTGTATGTTTGGTGATATCTGGAGTACCTGTCGAAGCTAAGAGGATCAGAATTTGGTCACTGATTCGTGAGATTACCAAATTCTGTAGCTGGAGACAAAGCCTCCAGTGGCATTGGATATTTGTTCCTGAATGATTGGAAGACACAAGGCAATCGTAGCTGGAGCTAACAGGGATGTCTTGATATTTCTACTAAAGACCTGCAGATTGTCTGTCCCAAAGGTTCTAAAGTATGAGATAAACGTGAAGAAACTAAAGTTGTGAGAGGGACTTGGAATAAAATTAACTGCATGAATACCTATCAAAGTCAATTTCTTGGCAGAGGTGCAGAATAGGGTGCCCACAGTTCTGGTTCCACTCTGCCCATATCAGGTGAACAGAGTCAAGGCTATTCAGCTCCCAGCTGCCTGACTCATTTTGGCTCTGTGCCTATCACACAACTTCGACTTCCTGGCAGTTTGATTTCCTGAATGGGTTTGTCCACATGAGAGGAAGTATTGTCAGGTTGATGTGAATATCTAGCTTATTTGGCAATTACAGTTTTTATTGCAAAATACTACATTGGAAGACTTTAAATATTTTTAGTTGCTTACATGAGTCATAACCTAGAAACAGCAGGGAAAAAAATGATGGTCTAAAGAGATAGTATATGTAAAAATTATCTCCATAAGCTGCATACTACTAGCAGAAGCAATATTCCTCTTTGTCACTGACCAACCAAAGAAAAACCTCAGCAGTTTTTTTTGATAAGTTTAGAAAAGTGAGTAGCTTTATCTTTCCAGTTAATTCACCAGGAAGTAAGAGGAACTTCCTTCTGAATCAATTGTCTAACAGTATAGAACCTTGAAAACCAAATTGCCAGATACACCAATGTTCTAAAAACCTCTTACTTCAAACAGAACAAAACCGAAACAGCCTTCAAAAGTCCAAAGTCTTGCTATCAATTAGAATAATTTCTGGCTATTGTACAAATGGTACCATAGAAACATAAAAGCAGGGACAAGTGTTCTCCAATCCAAATCAGGATCAGCTTCCAAAATGGCTTTTCTTTCCTAACAGTAACTTCAAAATCCTTCTATGAAAGGTAAGGGGAAAAAAAAGCAATGGGTTGTAGGTGTTAGAAGTTCAACTTAAAAAAAACAAACAAACAACAACAACAACAAAAAAACAGGGATTGAACCCAGGGACACTTAACCACCGAGCATCATCCCCAGCCCTTTTTAAAAAATGTTTTATATTTTGAGATGGGGTCTTGCTAAGATGCTTAGGGTCTCACTAAATTGCTGAGGCTGGCTTTGAACTTGTGATCCTCCTACCTCAGCCACCCCCAGCCACTGGATTACAGGCACCACCATGCCCAGCCAAAATTTCACTTTTTAAAGTGAACCATAAAGGGTTTAGCAGAAAGCTAAAAATCCTGTGTTCAATATTGTTCTACTTTTTATCTGACATAAGACAAAGTAGAAGCATAAAGGAACTAATTTTTTCTTTTTATTCCCTTCCTCCCTTCCTTTTTCCTTTGTTTTTTTCTTTTTTATAGGAGTAAGTATTGAACTCAGAGCTTTGCACATGCTAGGAAAGTGCTCTACCACTGAGCTACATCCACAGTCCTTTTAAATTTTTATTTTGAGACAGGGTCTCACTAAGTTGCCCAGGCTGGCCTCAAACTTTCCTCCTGCCTCTGCCTTCCAAGTAGCTGGGATTATAAGCATGTACCACCCAGCCTGGCTGTAACTAATACTTTCTACTTACTACTGCGGTAGATATACATATCATATTATATGTTAACTAAATTATCAAATCAAAAGTCTTGTCATAATATTTTTAAAAACTTAATGTGTTTGGATTAGATAAACCAAACCTGTTCAGCTGAGGTCTTTGATACTGGTTCTGCTTATTAAAGAAGATTTAAAGTTCCACTGGGAAACCCTCAGATATTCTAGAGTGTATCTAATCTGGTGAGAACCCCAAGTATTTGATTCTTGTTAAATAGAAAAGGAAGTGAGATACATTATCAATTATAATAAAATATCTTCCTACCTTGTAGTCATATATTCAGCTCTATGACCTGCAGAAACAGAAAATAAAATTAGTAAATTCAATGGAATCAGTAGAGTCGATTTGATAGTCTTTTATATCATCTGTCCCTTATTTTTAGATACTGAGTTTTTAACTTACACATTTTATGGTAGCAAGCATGAGTATACCATATAAAGGTAGACAAATAATTCAAAGTCAATATTGCATGAAATTTACACAATTTTAATTAATTCTATAGATGAGGTAAACATTTCATCTGATAATTTGAGGTAGTTTTTTTTTTAACAAGAATTAGCTACTTGACTGTAATTTTAAACACAAAATAAAAATACAATATATCCAAGATTTGCATGTTAGTTATTCTGTCTTGAATGATATTTGGGGAGAAGTATGAGGTCAAACAGTTGAGACAACTCCATTTCCTTTAGACAAAATTGGTATTCTTTCTGTGACATGAAATCAGGGCACTGTAAGAGAAGTTGCATTCTCTAAGCAGAAATGACATTTGCAGATAATAATGTACAAGAACATTAAATTATACTGCATTCCAGCAACTTGAAAGCTAAAAGCCTTTCATAGAGTTCTGTCACTTAAAGTAGGAATTGCTTCTTAGACATTTGGGCTTCTTGACTTGTTTTAAATAACAGGGCTGAATTTTCATAGCACTCACATGATCTGCTCTAATTTCAAGCTTATATGTGTCAATGGCTGCTGTCTGCTCTTTCTTACATTCTGGGTGGAGAAGAGGTTTGGGAGAGCTGAACCATTCAGCTGGTTTGTTTGCAAAATGATGATTGATTCTGAAACAGCTTGAACATATAGCTGGCAGAGGAAGGTCATATTGCAGCAAAAATGGGTGAGCTTGGGTCATTATAACATAATGCAGTGATTCAGACTTATAGGCAAGGCCTTATAAGTATATGATATATAATACTTTTGTAGTGCAGATTCACATTGTAGAGAAAGCTGACTTCTTGGGAATGGTGGATGAAGACTCCAGGCTGTAACAGAGCCTGCTGCTCTATCTGCTCTTGAATAAAAAGTGACATGAAGTGTTTGATTTTTATCTAGTGATTAAGCAGGGGGCAACAGATAATATCAGAGAACACCTTTTTCAACATAGATAGATTTAGGTTGCTATAAGTGTTGACAGAATTAGTTCTTGGCCAGAGTTGGGTGGAAATAAGGGGGAAGGGAAAGAACCTGATTCCTCTTCCTCTACCTGATTCTGTCTTTTAACTATAGGTCCTTTTAGGTTTTATTTTTTAAGTATAGGTTCTTTTCTTCTGCTGATCTTCTGCTACTTGAGAGAAGAACAAAGGGAACATTTACACGGAACTGCAGAAAAAATATAGATATTCATGAATGGAAGAGAACTACTGGGAAGGAGAGGGACTGACAGTGGGCTGACATTTGGGGATTTGTAGACTGTCAAATGGAAGTGTCCAGCAGAAATCTGGCCAGATAAGGTTAAGGCACAGAGAGGACAAGGATGGAGGTAAAGATCTGAGTCACTACCAGTTAGGTTGTCCTGGGACCATAGGAGCTGACTGAGATCACCAAGGGTGAACTAGTAGAATGAGCAAATGGTTGAGGTTCAAGCAACTATGTGGCTTGTGCTGTTCTGTATTGTCATGTTGCATGCTTTATTATGAAATAAAAGTATGATATGATATATATATTAGTAAAAATAAAAATATCAAGATGTTTAATATTTATTACACACTGTGATAATAACAGTTCTAAGTATTAATTAAGCAACAAATATTGTAAAGTGTACTAAGCACTTTATATTAAATACTCTACACAATAACCTTATTCTTCTTTTACAAAAGAGACTGAGCACATAGAGAAAGGACTTATCCAGGGTCATGCTATTAGTAAGGGGTGGACTTGGCTCTAGATCCAGGTTTGTTTTAATTCTAACTCTGAGCTCCCAAGCACTAACTGTACTAATTTAAAAATGTAAGTCTTGGGCTGGGGATGTAGCTCTCAGTGGTATAGCACATCTTAGCATGCACAAAGGCTCTGAGTTCTATCCCAGCACCACAAATAGACAAACAAACAAACAGAAAAAAAAAAGTGAGTCTTTTTTCCTGGAAAACACTTTGAGTAATCCTATAGGAAAAGTATGAATCATAGCTTATGATTCTGTCTGTCCTAGAAGAATAAAAAAATCATAAAGGTTTTAGTAAATCTAAAAACATTACATAAATATGAAAATTATTAAATTAGCAAATATCTGAAACCTTAAATAATACAGGCTAATCATTTTCAAGTGAGTCAATGGTAGTGATGCTGATGATAATACTTAGAAGTGAAATGTTTTAGAACCTGAATATTTTTCTTTTTTGTTGTTAAAATATCCCATCAAGTTATTCCCTAGATTTAGAAAAGGATGATTATATAAAGTGGCTTAAAATTATTTTGCTCCATCCATCTATAGTTAATAGCATGAAATAAAAAATTAAAAACCTATAAAAGATAAGTTTTGAGTAATGAACCAAGAACAAGCTTTGCAAGAACTATCACTCACAGCATGCACCACCACATCCATCGTTTTCTCAGCTAATAGACCTCAGTGTGTCTCAGCTGATGAATGAGGTTTTATTTTTTAATCAGTATCATCATTAATAGATCAATAATGCACAGGCTTTGAAGGCTCTCCTTCCCAGAGAGATGTGAAAGCTTCCAGTGGTCTGAGGATTAGATTTCAAGCATTTTCTTTGGAAGCCTATTTAATTATTGAAAACTACAGAGCCACACACTGCCTTCCTCTCCCATATAAGACATTTGGAGGAAATAAAATGACCCAGGATTAACTTTCTTGGTACATACACTCCCTTTGATTACTCTTAAATTTCACTTGAGAATTATGAAGTGAATTATTTTTCACACCTAAATGCATCGTGTCTCTATGTAGCAAAAGGGAAAAAACGACACACAATTTGGCGACAACTCGAGATTTAAAAAAAAAAAAAGCTAGAGAAAAAATTTAAAATATGCACAGCTCAAACTGGATGGAGACACCACGGATTTGTCCTAATGAATGACTGATGAGGATTCCTGGCGTCACTTCCCAGTCCTTTTCTTCCTTAAGAATACCAACTACTTCAGTGCTTTTCTAAGAAGACATAATTATTCACAATCAGCTTGTCTTTTGAAAGTATATTTGTACTCCTACTCAAAGACAGACAATGGATTACGTGAAGATACCCCATTGAATTCCTTAGGCCCAGGGCAGAAAACAATGTAACGTAGAACTCGGCTTTCACTGTCAGATTTTCTGGGTTTAGCAAAAGGTTTTTATAGATATTTACACGCTCTTAGCTCCTTATGTACACAAAGAAGCCAATGTGAATATTAAGGCTCACTACTGAAAAAGAACCTCAGTTTTATAGATGTATATTTCATTTACTATCATCAATCAAATGGATTTAAAAACAAATGACATCACAAAATGATATAGTGGTATTGCTGAAGGATGAAGGTGGTGATGGTGAGTGTGGCTTTAAGAGCTCATTATGTGTTTCTTTCTATATTAATACTTTTTGAAGATTTAGAATTCTGAATTTTGACAGTGTCACTTTAAGAGCCCCATGTAGTTGTTTCACAATGTTGTAAAGCACAGAACTTACTGGGCCACTGGTAGCCTGCCAAAAGCGAGCAGTACGGCAGGCCAAACACATGTCTGTAGTTAGAGTCTCAGCTGTGCACGATCAACTGCTAAATCCTGGGGTTAGGCTCTATTTGTTTTACCATGAAGGCAGTTTTTGCAGCAGTGAGTCTAGTATAATTCAGAGAGGTGATTTCTATCTCAAAAGTCAAGACTGTCCCCAAACATGCCCCTTCATCCTGTCCTACTAACCTTATTTAACCAAATCAGGACTTGGATCCCTTCCTAAGGGCTCACCATTGGATTACTTCACCGTGGGACAGGTGCCATTAAATCCCCTGGTCTCCTTTAGTATAAGCGAATTAATGTGAATAGGGCTTGCATGGAAAGCCAGCAGACTCACAATGGTCACAACTGAAAGGTGGAGCATGTCTACCATGCTCAGATTTTCTCTGGGTGACAAACCCAGCCACTGACCAGAAACTGGTGTGTTGCCAAGCTTGCTTGAGGGGCAGGACTGGGGAATACAGAGGTCTGCAACCTGTGGGCAGAGCCCAGTGTGTCTGCGGCCACCACATGAAAGCCATCCAGTTCCTTCTGCAGAAGAAACTGAAAGCAGTGAAGATCTCGGACACCTGAACATAGTGTGGCACTGTGGGACACTGGAACCCACTGAAAGAAAATTCTAAGACGAAGAATTTCTGGCTTAGGGTTCACAAGATATAATGTGGCTTTACACAGCACAGCAGCTAGAGACAGAATCTGGCATACAGACTCAGCAAATTGGCCAAAATGTAGCTCTATCCAAGAATGACATGTAAAATGACACGTAAAAACTATTGGGGCTTTCTCTCTAGGAGACCTAGGAGAAATTATGTTGAATAAGTCCCATCAAAGTTTCAGAACGTGGCTTTAAGCCACATTAACACGTGTCTGCATAAAACGCCAAGAATGAATTTAATTTACCCACAGTACTGAATTCTCTCAAACTCAACAATTTCTAAAGACAGGAGGACTTCAGACTTGTAGGGAAAAGCTTTGTGTCTGAAAGCATTCTTCTATACTTGATAATTTATGCTTCGGGGCTGGCAACTGACCTTGAAGTTATTGCTTAAAATATCAGGCATTTATGATAAATGAGGGGTAGGGGAAGAATTTACATGACACTATGAGGGAGAAGGGAAAAAAAGTGACACAATTGCTCAGTGAGAAAACTATTGAGATAAAAAGGCTTTTTTTTTTTTTTTTTTTTTTTTTTAATTCAAACCTACAGAAGAGTTGAAAGAATAGTACCAGGAATATCCTATACCCTTTGTTTAGATTTCCAAGTTGTTCACACTTACCACACAGGTTTTATCATCTGTCTTTTTCTGAACCATTTAAAAGTAATGATACTAAAGTGGGTGTTTTTAAGAATAAGACCATTCTTTATAATCACAGTACCATTATTATAACTAAGAAAATTAACATTAATTCAATAATATAAAGTTTATATTTATTTTCCCATTGTGCTTAAGATGTCCTTCATAACTTTTGTTTTTTGATTCAGGATTTAATGAAGGGCCACACATTGCATTTGGTTGTTTTATTTTTTAGTCACTTTTCAGTAGTTTAAATATTTTCTCTCTTAGGTAAAATTGGCCTTTTGTTTTGGAATAGGACATCTTAACTGTGTAATATGTGGAGGCTTAGGTCATGATAACCTTTCTCCATGTGGTCATTCCCCGGTGTTGACGGGTTCTTTAGAGGAAAAGATGAGACAGGTGATGGGAATACTGCTGGGCAAGGAAGATTCCGGAATGATAGGAGGCCCGGGTACAGGTCTATGTGTGGCAATCTCTTTTTGACTCGATCACTCCACTCATTTCACTCATTTCTCACCCTCTTCTAAATTTTCTTTTACTTTTTAGAATGTCTAGCAGGATCTAGTGTAAATAAAAGATAATTAAAGTTGCATACTCTGAGGCCTTTGTATTTATTTTTTCCTTTTAAATTTCATAAAGACAAAAGGAGAAAGAATAGCATTTACACAAGTCCCCTATGTTTTTAGTCCATTTTGCTCATTTGTAAAAATGAAGAAACTAAGAGCGCTCAATTAAGAATATAGTTCAAAACAATGCCCCGCCCAGAGAAAGTCTTATATAAGCATTAACTCTTGCATTTGTTTTTATTATTAGACAGAGCAATCTACTTATACTATTATTTCTCAACTACCAAGAATGCCTAATAAAAGAGGGAAAAAAAATCACCCAAACTCGTTTAGCTGGTTTCCAGAGTCCAAAAAGTCAATAGATGGAACAACAGAGACCAGCCCATTAAAACAAACAGGGGTGGGGCTGGAGAAGCCTAAGAAGGGAAGGAGTAAGTGACTGGGGTCAGCAGGTGGCAGCAAGTAAGGCCCTCCCAATGTCCCCCATCAGAGCACCATGCTCTAAGATCCCACAGGAGCTCTGTGTTAGTTGTCAGCCCTCCCTCGATTGACTATTCCTCAAGTTCACCACCAAGCTTAAAAAAAAAGGATTGAGGGGAGAACTTGATCATCACAGGCACAGATAAAGCAATTCTAAACACATAGTGTTGTTTCTTAAATTGCAGGTATATGATTCACTCTTTATGGAATACACTCATGATACAATACATAATCCACATTATCTTCCCACAAAGTCCACATAACTGACCTTCTCCAAGAGTCCTCTGCAGCAAGTCATGTTTGGCTTGAAGTTTTGTGATGAGATTACTGCCTTCCAAATATTCTCTAAGTTTCTGCAAAAGGCAATTGAAAGGTAAAAATATATTTTTTTAAGTTTTCAAACTATTCAATGTCAAGGAACTTTTCATAAGAGATATCAAGCCCAGTCACTTTTATCTTCTCGATTCTAGAATTGTGCTACTCAACGTGCGGTCTGCAGTCTGACAGTATCAGCCATCACTTGGGAGCCTATTCCAGGTGCAGACTCTCAGGCCCCTTCCTCCTCAGACCCACCGAAATCAAATCTGCATTTTAATAAGCAGTTAAAGGTCTTTTTTAAAAAAAATTTGTTTTTTTAATTGTAGATGGAGACAATTCTTTATTTATTTTTATATGGTGCTGAGGATCGAACCCAGTGCCTCACATGTGTGCCAGGCAAGGTCTCTACCACTGAGCCACAACCCCAGCCCCTAAAGTTCCTATTTTTAGAGCAGTCTTAACTTCTTCATGAACTCCTAATTCTATCAAGACTGAATGAATCAGGAACTCTGAGTGTGGATAGGAGTACATATCTTTTTTAAAAAAAATATTTATTTATTTTTAATTTTAGGTAGACACAATATCTTTATTTTACATTTATTTGGTGCTGAGGATGGAACCCAGTGCCTCGTGCATGCTAGGCCTCTACCGCTGAGCCACAACCCCAGCCCCAGGAGTCCATATCTTAATCAAGACCCCAGATGATTCTGATGCAGTTATGGAAGGAGCACTAGGGAACTGTGGATCTGGGCCCTGTCAAGAGTGGCTGGGGGAGCAATGGGAGTACCATGAAGTAGAATTGCTCGGTTTCCTGCTGGTTGGCTCTCCTCTTGGCGATGCTGGGTTTGCTCAGGTAGGTTTCAGAGACAGTGGACTTCACAGACTCTGTGGAGCGGCTGTGCTGGAAACATTCAGATACATCATAGTCCTCAATGGTGACCATATCTTGTATTGTCTGCAAGGTGGCTTCAGTAGTTTTTTTGACCTTGGAACAGAAATATATTTTTCAGGTTTAGTACATTGTTTCACAGATCCCACATCTGCTCAGTGAGAGTCCACTGTGTCAAGCAGAGATGAGGACATGGGGGCCCGCTCCCAAGGAGTTCAGAGCCTATTAGGGGAGAGAGACAGGTCATCAATACCTCACATCACCAAAGTAAGAGGAGGATTCCTTTGAAATTTACTGAAATATACAATACTTTATATTTAAATCTCAGAGATCACGGGTTTTCACAATTACTCCTTTGCTTTAAATAACCTTTTTAACTGAAGTGAAACTACATGCTGAAAAATAGAGGCCATGTGTGTACAGCCTGATGAATGATCAGAGTGGACAACTGTTGTGACCATAAACAACAGACAAGAAACCTCTGTTACCCACTTCCACACACTCTTCCCTCTTCCTCCAAGGTCCCCTGATTTCTAACAACATATTAGTTTTGTCCATTTTGTACTTTGCATAAATGGAATTCTACAGCATGTATTCTTTGTCTTGCTTCGATTGCTCAATGTTAGTGAGATTCATTCATTTCTTACGGGTATGGTACTTTATAGATGAACATTTACTATAAGACCACATTATATCACATTTATTTATTTGTTAGTTTATTTATTTATTTATTGTGGTGCTGGGGATTGAATTCAGGGCCTCAGGCATGCTACGCAAGTGCTCTATCCCTTAGCTATTTATAGAGAATTTATTTTTAGTTTTTGGCTATTATGAATAATGCTACTATGAATGCAATTTTGTTGGGCCTCATATAAATGGATAGAATTCCTGCTGAGGAGTATTGCCAGAATGTTTTCCACAGTGACTGTGGAAGTTTATATTTTCACCAGCAGGTAGGAGAATTCCTATCCTCATCAATAGTTAATATTTTTGGTCTTTTCAGTTTAAATCACTGAGCAGTGGTATCTCCCTGGGGTTTCCACATGCTTTTCCTTGATGTATGTCATTGAACAAAGTTTTAAGGCAGTTTGGATCTCCTTCCTTAGGAGTGCTTTGTTCTAATCTCTTGCTCAGTTTTCTCCTGTGATGAGTCTTTTTCTCACTGATTTACAGATATGGATATGAGTCTTTTGTTAATTATGCATGTTATAAATGCCTTTTCCCACTCTGTGCCATGACTTTCACTGTTATTTAGATGAACAGTCTCCAATTTTAATGTAATCAATTTATTGATTCTTTCCTTTGTGATTGGTGCTTTTTGTGTCCCATTTAAGAAATATTTTCCTATCACATGGTCAGGAAGATACTGTTCTATGTTATCTTCTAGGAGCCTTTTTATTTATTTATCTTCCAGGAGTTTTAAAAATCTATCTTACTTACCAAAGGTCATAGGCCTGCCTTTGTTTATCAAAGTTTAATGTAAATTGATAGCTTTATCTTCCTCCTCCAGATTTATATGCTATTTTTGTAATGGATTGAATAGGACATGCAGGTAAATATTTTCATATATTTAAATAAGACATTACTAGTTATTGTTTTATACAATCAATATTCACTTAGCTTTATTCATATATTTATTACATTCTTTGATCTCTTTTCCTTGTATTTTGAGTACCCTTTAAAAATTCTTTTAGTATGAGTCTGTTTTTCATTTGAAAACATCCTTTATTTCACCTTCACTTATGAAAGATATTTTTCTACTTGGCAGTTATTTTCTTTCTGTATATGGAAGGTACCACTGCAATTTCCTGTGGCTTCCATGTTCTTATCGAGTGAGATGTTTACTGTCAGTCTGTCATTACTTTGGATGAAACCTTTTTTCTCCAGGAGTTTTAAGTTTTCAATTCATCTTTGGAATTCTACAGTTTCAACATAATGCATCTAGGTAAGGATTTTAAAAATATATTTTGCTTAGTACCCTGGGTCATAAAACTTAAAATAAAATAGGGGCTGGGGATGTGGCTCAAGCGGTAGCGCGCTAGCCTGGCATGCGTGCGGCCCGTGTTCGATCCTCAGCACCACATACAAACAAAGATGTTGTGTCCACCGAGAACTAAAAAATAAATATTAAAAAATTCTCTCGAAGATGGCGGCGAGGGGAGTGCATTACCCCCGTGTGCTGCTTCACTGTGTGGGAGTATGACAAGTCAGGACGGCTAAAGGATATCTTGTTAGGAATTTCCAGCAATAGTGGGGTGCGCCGGAACCTGGAGGAAGGATTTCCATCGCATGAGGATCGGCTACGGGGACTCAAACGCGAGAGGTTTGTCGCATGGAGGGTAACACTGCTTATTAAGCAAATCGCCCCGCGGCTAGAGTCTGCAAGGCGCGCTGGGATAGAGACGCAGGGTTACAGCGCTGCAGTTTCTGCCAGACGCGCAAGCACCGCACTCAGGGCTGAATTCTGGGTTCGAGACGGGGAAGGAAGCGGTCCATCTCGGTTCTCCACACCGGTCAGACCACAGAGGAGGCCAGCAGCCACCATGTTGGTAAACTGACGTCACCACACCTGTTTTTGACTGACCGCAGCTCATTCAGCCATAGAACAGGTAATTTCAGGCTGCAATTCGCCTGCGGCTTGCAGACAGATTGCTAGGGTTCAGCGCCTGGGGGCTTCTTAAAATCTGATCTTATCGGAGTGAACACGGAGCGCGGGGCGGCCAAGTCCCGGCTCCCGGAACCGTCCCGGAACCGCCCTGGCTCCGGGCTGCGGAGCCTGCGGAGGCTGCTTCTTGGACCCTGCTAATATCAGAGCAAACACGAAACACCAAGAAGCCGAATTCCAGCTCCCGGAACTGAGCCCGCGGGGACTGCTTCTTGGAGCTTACACTTATAGGAGCTTACACCGAGCACGGAGCGGCCGAGTTCCGGTTCCCGGAACTTCCCTGGACCGGGGCTAGGAGCCCGCGGAAACTGTGTCTCGGTCCGGGTCCTGCTGAGGGCAGGTCAGGACTCACCCATTGCTTGGGTTGCCTGGCAAGGGGAACGAAATGCTGCCATTCGCATAGGATACCAACATGGCAGAGATCTGATGTCAGCAGAAAGCGGTGGAGGAGAGATCTTCATCAATACCAGCGGTGACATAAGCAGTTGGTCTCCTGGTAAGGGGGGTGAGGCTCAGTCACCCGAGTCTCCTCAATTTGTCCTCGAGCCAGAGGGAAGGAGCCGGGCCGCCGCCAGCCCCCGGAGCAGGCCCAGCGGCTCGCCAGCGTGGTGACCGCGTGACCCCAATTGGAGAGGGGGCGGAGCGGAGCCGCCACCCACACCCGCCAGGTGGGCAGACCCACGACCCAGTAGTACATGGGCGTGGTAGGAGGGGCAGGGCAGAGCCGCCCTTCGCGCTTGCAAGGTAAACAGACCTGTGACAGCCTGGCGGGTCAGGCCCAGTGGCCTGCCAGTGTGGTACACACGTCACCCCAACTCGAGTAGGGGCAGAGCAGATCCTTATCCCACGCCCGGATCAGGCCCTGCCGGTGTGGTGGTCACGTGACCCCAATTGGAGTGGGGGTGGAGCGGAACCACCACCCGTGCCCGCAGGGTGAGCAGACCAGTGATCAACCTGCAGATCAGGCCCAGGGGTCCGCAGGCGTGGTAGGAGGGGCAGGGCAGATCCGCCGCCCGCGCCTTCAAGGTAGGCAGACCTACAACAGACCGGCGGATCAGGCCCAGGAGCCTGCCGGCGGGGTACAAACACCACCCTAATTGGAGTAGTGACAGAGCAGAGTCGCCTCCCTTGCCAGGAACAGACCCAGCATCCTGCAGGCGGGGTAGTCACGACACCCCAATTGGAGTAGGGGCAAAGCAGAGCCTCCACCCGTGCCCGAAAGGTGGGCAGATCTGCGACCGACCAGCGGGACAGGCCCAGTGGCCTGCTGGTACGACAGACACGTCACCCCAATTGGAGTAGGGGCAGAACAGAGCCGCCACCAGCTCCCAGAACAGGCCCAGTGACCTGCCGGCGTGGTAGCCACGACACCCCAATTGGAATAAGGAGAGAGCAGAGCCGCCGCCCGCACCTGCAGGAAAGATACGCAAGCAGTATGAAAAGACAAGGAAAGAAAGGACCACAAGCAATGCAGGTCAACGCAACTTTAGAAGAGGTAACAGCTGCAGCAGATGGAATGTCAGATAAAGAATTCAGGATATACATGCTTCAGATGATCTGGAGTATCAAGGAAGACATTAAACAGCAAAATCAGACAATGAAAGATCACTTCGACAACGAATTACGCAAACAAATCCAGGAAGCAAAGGATCAACTATACAGGGAGATAGAGGTTATAAAAAACAAGCAATCAGAAATCCTAGAAATGCAGGAAGCAATAAACCAACTTAAAAACTCAATGGAGAATACTACCAACAGAGTAGAACACTTCGAAGATAGAACATCAGACAATGAAGACAAAGTATTTCAACTGGAAAAGAACATAGACAGCTCAGCAAGACTGTTAAGAAACCATGAGCAGAACATCCAAGAAATATGGGATAACATTAAGAGACCAAACTTAAGAGTCATTGGGATACAGGAAGGTACAGAGCTCCAAACCAAAGGAATGAGCAGTCTATTCCATGAAATAATACAAGAAAACTTCCCAGACTTGAAGAATGAGACAGAATCCCAAATCCTAGAAGCCTACAGGACGCCGAATGTGCAAAATCATAAGAGATCCACACCTAGACACATTATAATGAAGATGCCCAACATACAGAATAAGGAGAGAATTTTAAAAGCTACAAGAGAAAGGAAGCAGATTACATTTAGGGGCAAGCCAATCAGGATAACAGCTGATCTTTCAACACAGACTCTGAAAGCTAGAAGATCCTGGAATAACATATTTCAAACACTGAAAGATAATGGGTTCCAACCAAGAATTGTGTATCCAGCGAAATTAAGCTTCAGGATGGAGAATGAAATTAAAACCTTCCACGATAAACAAAAGTTTAAAGAATTCGCAGCTAGAAAACCATCTCTTCAAAACATCCTAGCCGAAGTATTACAGGAAGAGGAAATGGAAAATAACAATGAAAACCAACAG